CAAGTGCAAACCTAGACCAAGCCATCAATATACTCTCTGAACAACTGGAAACAGTGCTCACTACGGATAAGCAAATATTAATAATGGGAGACATCAATGTAAACAACCTAGTTGATGACAATGAAAACGAAAAAATTGAAGAACTCCTAACCTCCTTCAATATCTCAAGACAGGCTACCTCCCACTCGAATTACAAGTGACTCAGAAACATCAATAGACTGGATATGCTCAAACATTGATAATCAACAAATAGAAACCTCAGTTATAACATCGGGACTATCTGACCATACCGCAAAAATCGCAAAAATCATCACTAGAAAACCGATCATCAACAACATCAAAGAAAATAAACGAATCTTCAACAAAACAACAATAGATAACTTTAAGACACAACTACAAGAACAAGACTGGGAAACTATAATACAAACTCATGACGTAGATGAAGCCTACAACAATTTCAGCAACATCATCCAGACAACACTAAACCACGCCTGCCCTCTTAAAACGTCAAGAGTTAAACAACATAACAGGAGACAGTGCTGGAATCAAGAATCGGCTAGACTTAAAAATGAATATATAAAGGCCTTAGAAAAGGAGCAAACAACCGGACTTATGGAAGACAAAGCCAGAACAACTACAAAAAAAAAGGAGTACGACCAGCATTTGAAAATGCTCCGGAAAGAAAACAACACAGCTTACATAAACCAGGCTGAAAACAAGTCTAAAGCACTGTGGCAAACAATAAACCGAGAAAGGGAAGCGAGATCAAATACTGAAAACCAAATCCATCTTCAAGTCAACAATAAAACAATTGACGACCCAATAGAAGTTTCAAACTGTTTTAATGATTTTTTCTCATCAATAGCCGACCGAACACTCCAAAATAACAATAACTCTAGAACCAATGCCTTAACAGACCACTTACCAGCAACACATCACACACTCCAGTTCAGACGGGTCACACAAGAAGAAGTGCAAAAGGCCATTCAATCTCTAAAGATGAAAAATTCATCCGGAACTGATGAGGTATCAGATAAACTTCTAAAAAACTGTAAAAATGAAATAGTAATACCCCTGACAGACATCATAAATAAATCACTCTCACAAGGAAAATTCCCAGATAAATTAAAAATAGCTAAAGTCTACCCAAAATACAAAAATGGACCAACGATAGAAAGAAACAGCTACAGGCCAATCTCCCTAATATCAAAGTTTTCAAAAATAATCGAAAAGATAGTACTAGCCCAACTTCTACACCATCTTCAAGAACACTACCTTCTCAATAGTCAACAGCATGGATTTATCAAAGGCAGATTGACAGCCACAGCCTTAATACAACTGACGGAGCACATACTAGACCAACTAGAAGAAGGCAGCACTTCAACAAGCCTCTTCCTAGATTTTAGTAAAGTTTTCGACTTACTAAACCACGAACTTCTTCTACTCAAGCTGGAAACACTAGGTGTGAGAGGAAGAGCAGTAGAATGGTTTAAAAGCTACATTAGTAATCGGAAACAGCTTGTGGAAATAGCCTACACAAAGAACAACACAAAGTATAAGGCCCAATCCAAAGCTGTAGACGTGCAAAGAGGAGTACCCCAAGGATCAGTACTTGGCCCAGTCCTTTTCCTCCTTCTCACGAATGACCTACCTAGCTGGATTGGGGAAGATGAACACACCACCATGTACGCAGATGACACGGTTCTCACATTTGCGGACAAAACAATAGAAAATCTGGAAAAGAAAACCAACACACAACTCCATAGAACAAAGCAATACTGTACCTCCAACGACCTAGTTCTAAATGAAAGCAAAACCGTTCAAATGACTTTCACCACCAAACGCAACAACACAGACATTACAATACCGGTACTACAAACACAAAATACCACAAAATACCTAGGCATCATAATTGGCTCCAAGCTATCATGGAAACCCCACATAGACCAGCTCTACAAAAAGCTAAGTTCAAGTCTCTACGTTATACGTAGGATCAAGCAAGCTTGCAGCCCAGAAGTAGCCAAAGTTGCATATTTTGCTCTATTCGAGTCCCACCTCAGATATGGCATTGCGACTTGGGGTGGAACATCAAAAGGCAACCTGGAAAGAGTACTCCTAAAGCAAAAAAGAGCAATTAGATGCCTTGCCGACCTGAACTACAGAGACAGTTGCCGAGAAGCCTTCAAGAACCTTAAAATTCTCACATCAATTTCACTCTACATAAGAGAAGTCATTATTTACACCACTAAAACAGCCCAGCCAAGACACAGAGACATACACCATATACAACACACGACATGCCGCCAATTTTTCCCTCCCACAACACTATCTGAGTCTGTACGAGAAGAAACCATCCTACAAAGGTGCTCTGTACTTTAACAACGTCAACCTACCAGAGCACCTCAAGAGAGAACAACCCAATCTGCTCAAGAAGCACCTGACAATATGGCTTATGGACCGGCCGTTCTACTCTGAGGATGAATTCTTAAACAATAAGCTACCATGAAAAAAAGAAGAAAAAAAGAAAAAAATTCTAATTGTAATTGCAAATTACTGTAATAGTTTACGTACATACTGTACATTTTATGTACCTGACGCATGAATGTTCTCTAGGAATATTTCAATAAAGATTTTGTCTATTGTCTATTGTACCCGTCCTTCGTAAGGGGATGGTATACAATGCTTATTGCGGTTATACTCGTGCTTTGCATTTTTCAATGAGAGAGAACACGTTTTTAAGAAAATTTTGTTTACTATAATTTATAGTATACTATAGTATAGAACATCTACCATAGCCATAATGTTCTACCAGTTCACCTAAACAATAGAAAGAAGTAAAGTTCTTAGAGCTTTGTGTTGCTGCTTGGTTGAAATTAACTGTTGTCATAAATGTATAAAGAACTATTGGTGCTGCACCCATAAACCATACAACCTTTTAATGCTATTGAATATAATTGAAACAAATTGTGTAGTTGAAGCAGCTGGCAAAATTATTTAATTCCTTTTTAAATATGAATACTCATAAGGTTAACATGGGAAACTCTAGAGCCGCTGGGGTGGAGCCCGAAAGGATTTTTGAGGTAAGAATATGTCTATATGTTAATCGGGAATGTGAGCTATCATCATACCAAACTTCAACACAATCCGACCAGTAGTTAATGCGTGATTGAACTTTAAACAAACAAACAAACACACAAACTTTCACATTTATAATATTAGTATGATAAACAATACTGCCCAAGTACTGACCACTGTGGCACCTAGCAAGAACCTCTTTAAAAGCTCATGTTTGTTTGCCGAAAGCTACATATTGTTGTCTGCCACAAAGGTAGGTTTAAAAAAAATTAGTTTCTACCATAAAAATCCAATTACTGCAAAAGCATGGTGTGCACAACTGAGTCAAAGGCCCTGCTGAGATCCACAAGGGCTAGACTGAGATAGTTGAGATAGTTCAAATGTATCCAGAATATCTTACACTATTGGTTTAACAGCTTAAGTTGTGGAGTATCCGGGTCGAAAGCCAAATTGATTGCTGTTCAGCATTTTAATATTTGGTAGAAAATCAAAAAGTTGTATTTTAACACAGTTTTAAATTATTTTTGAAAAAACTGGAACCATTGAAATGGGACGATAATTATAAATAGAAGATATATCTCCTTTATTGACAATTGGCATTGTTTTGCATATTTTCAGACAACTTGGAAATGAGAATTTAATTAGGCAATATTAACAAGGTAAGTTAAGGGTTCTACAATGTATGGTGCTATACTTTTGACAATGTTTTTAGAAAAGCCATAAACATCTTCAGAATTAGAGGAACTAAGTGATCTTATACCTTGTAATATTTCAATTTATGTTATTGGCTTCCAGGAAAAATTTGTATTAGAAACATTATCCTTAGCTAAAAAGTCAAAAAGAGAATTTGTCTAAAGTTTTGTTTCCTACATCAATGTAATAGTCATTAAATTCGTCAGCTGTAATTGGTTTATCCGACATTTCACATTAAAAAAATAAACCACTTTCTGACTTAACAACTTTCTATGCAGCCTTACATAATATTTTTTGTGAACCATTGAAACATTAATAAATTCCTCATTATATTTTAGTCAAATCGTTGAAGAATAACAGAGTATCCTTAATTTTCTTAAGTGACTCATCAAACCACAGGTTATTTTTTGTACTAACTTTGTAGTCCTTTCTTACTCTCTTAGATAGTCTAGGACAGTGATAGTTATAACAATTCTGAATACAGTCAAGGAAACATTTAAAAGCAACACTAACATCAGCAATCTGAAAAACTGGTTCCCAATTGATGACACTTAAACTATACTAAAACATATCAATCCTTTTTTTTTAATAATTTAAAAGAAAATTCTTTGAATATATCAGGCACATAAACCAAGGCGTATGAAAGAAGGTGTGTGTATAGTGATGTCATGTGCGAGCTAAACGTGTTTTATTTTACCAAATCATATGTTTTCCTGTAATTTCCTAAAGACTTTTGAATGACAATGATTACGAATTAGCATTGAATATATAAAACTATTTAGCGTTTTATATCCAATATAGTGTTGTATTCAATATTGAATATAGTCATAGTATTGTGTTATACATGATATTCAATGATGGTAGTATATAACATTTTGATAGTGAGTACATTTTAATTTTAATCAAAAAACAGTACAGAAGTAAATATTGTAACTGTGGCTGCCCAACAGGGAATATTTTTAGCTGACCATACACATAGTTTTTAATTTAATACCTTTTTTGCAGCTCCTATTTATGTTTTATATAATTGAAAATTTCTCATTTAAGTAGCCTTAGTGGAAAATAAATAGTTACAAATGAATCAACATGATTGTATTTATTGTAAATATCTTGTAAATATCTTAAAATCATTTAAGACATTTACAAGAATTTTTGTAAGATTATCATTCTTAAAAAAATCAACATTAAAATCTGCTCCTAAAATTAATTTACAATATGGTTTTTGTTGTAAAACAAATGTTAAAAGACTCTCTAATTAATTAAAAAATAAATTACAATCAGAATCAGGTGTTCTGTACAGAGATATCAAAGTTACATTGAAATCATTAATGTAGGTACATGATGCTCTTAATGAGCCTGTGTGTACAAGGTGTGAAATATCTATCCTATCATATGAAATATTTGTACTTAAAATGATTGAAGAGCCTCCATGGGGATCATCCTCTCTGCAAAGGGAATATGCGAGAGCATAACCTTGGGGAATATACAGCTTAATTTCATCTCTAAGAAGCAAATGTTCATTCAATAATGCAATGCTGCAATGTGATTCCTCTAATAATAAAGCCAATTCACTTAACTTATTCCTTAAAGATTGCACATTTACATGAATTAAATTTAAATTAAATTGATTGGAGCTTCATCTGGGATTATTTGTGAGAGGGTCTAATGCAGTGGAGGATACCCTATTAGAGTATCTCCTAAAAAATTAGAATTTAAACCCTATTAGAGTATATTTCCTAAAAAATTAGAATTTACATTTTCTAAAACACTAGCACTGGTTTCACTTTCATTAACACTTTCGGTACACAGTGACACAGGAGGTTGTTGAGGGGCTGTTGATGATGAAGTATCGGCTGCCTCTGCGGGTTGAGACGAGGGGGTGTTGGATTTGCAGGGTGAAGTCACAGCTAAAGTATCTTGCTTGGCTGTCATCGTGTTTGAATTATCAACGACAGAACTTGGATTGTTGTTACAGGACGGCAGAGAAGGATATTCTTCCATTGACAGTAAATGTCCTTTATCAGCCAACAGGGGACGTCCGTTTCCACTAGGTAGGCCTGTTTAGCCTCCAGAATCTTCATTTTGTCGTGCTGATTGAAGTGACACTATAAGTTTCCTAAAGTGTTTCACGAAGTCTGTATACAGTAACTCATTATATAATTTCTCAGAAGCATTTTCATTGTAGATAACAATTGTAATTTATGCCCCTGTTTCCTGTTTGAATTTAAACAGATTGTTGATGAAGTGGTGCGGTGAGATGCGGTCCCAAAGGGGAACTTATCAGATTTGTTAGCTCTTTCCGTCTATAGTCTTTGGCAAGCTGATCAAAAACTGCATCATATGTAGCATTGTATTGTAGTTTTTGGAATTTTGGTAGTATTTTTGCTTTGTGTTACTAAGCTGTAGATAATGGCTCCTTATTTGGATTTTTTACAGGTCAGGTTTGAATCGCAATAATCTGAGTGACTTGGCTTGCCAAACTTTTCACACATTATTAATAATCAAGAAGTTATTATTAATAAACGTATGAGGTCGCTCTCCCATGTGAACCATTGTATGAATCTTCATATGGCTGTTGTAGTGGAAATATTTTCCACGCATATTAGCTTACACTTATAAGGTCTAGCCTTTACTACTTCCTTCACCATTTCCTACGTCGTGGACCTGTTTCCCTCCCTTTCCATAGCATTATAGTATTTTAAATACAAATATCTTACTGATACACATGATTTCCACACTACATACTGCTCGCCTTTACGACTTCCTTCACCACTTTCTAAATCGTAGACCTGTTTCAGTTTGCCATTTACGAGATGGATCCATGAATATGATTCACCGATGGATAATCACATATGAGACCGAAATGGATTCACTTATGAGGTCGCTCTCCAGTGTGAACCAATGTATGAATCTTCATGTGGCCGCTGGTTTTGAAGGATTTTCCACATGTATGCACTAATGAGGTCGCTCTCCCATATGAACCTTTGTATGAATCTTCATGTGGCTGCTGGTTTTGAAGGATTTTCCACATGTAATGCACTTATGAGGTCGCTCTCCTGTGTGAACCATTGTATGAATCTTCATGTGGCTGCTGATTTGGAAGGATTTTCCACATATAATGCACTTATAAGGACGCTCTCCCGTGTGAACTAATGTATGTTTCTTCATGTTGCTGCTGGTTTGGAAGGATTTTCCACATATTGTGCACTTATGAGGACGCTCTCCCGTGTGAACTAATGTATGATTCCTCATGTGGCTGCTGGTTTGGAAGGATTTTCCACATGTACTGCACTTATAAGGTCGCTGTCCAGTGTGAACTAATGTATGTTTCTTCATGTGGCTGATGGTTTTGAAGGATTTTCCACATGTAACGCACATATGAGGTCGCTCTCCTGTGTGATCCAATGTATGAATCTTCAAATAGCTGCTGGTTTGGAAGGATTTTCCACATGTACTGCACTTATAAGGTCGCTCTCCCGTGTGAACCAATGTATGAAACTTCATTTCATTCTTGGTTTTGAAGGATTTTCCACATATAGTGCACTTATAAGGTCGCTCTCCTGTGTGAACTAATGTATGTTTCTTCATACAGCTGCTGGTTTTGAAGGATTTTCCACATGTAATGCACCTATGAGGTCGCTCTCCCGTGTGATCCAATGTATGAATCTTCAAACGGCTGCTGGTTTGGAAGTATTTTCCACATGTACTGCACTTATGAGGACGCTCTCCCGTGTGAACTAATGTATGATTCTTCATGTGGCTGCTAGTTTTGAAGGATTTTCCACATGTAATGCACTTATAACGTCGCTCTCGTGTGTGAACCAATGAATGAATCTTCAAACAGCTGCTGGTTTGGAAGTATTTTCCACATGTACTGCACTTATGAGGACGCTCTCCTGTGTGAACCATTGTATGAATCTTCACACAGCTGCTGGTTAGGAAGGATTTTCCACATATAGTGCACTTATGAGGACGCTCTATCGTGTGAACCAATGAATGATTCTTCATAGTGGCATTGGTTTTGAAGGATTTTCCACATGTAGTGCACTTATAAGGACACTTCCCAGAATGTGTCAACAAATGACACTTCACTTTACATAGCTCATTAAATGTTTTATCACAAGTCAAACATCTAAAGCGACGCTCGCCCGTGTGTAAGTACATATGACACTTCATTGTTGATATAGTTGAAAACATTTTTCTACATATTGGACACTTAATAAGAGGCTTTTTAGTGATATTAAACATTTTTTTTCTTATTTCTGATTTCTAACAGACGAGCCCATAACTAATTGGAATTAGTCAGTTGCCTTTGCATTTCTATTTAAATATATGTCTTTTTTTTTGTAGGATTTGTTAAATGTCAAACAGTTATTATATATATGTATCAATAAAATGTATCCACTATTGCTCAAATATTATGTGTATTATCAGGGTTGCCACCATAATAGGATGATAAAATTCATGCAGAATTCATGGTTTTCATTGGTAGTTTAAAAAAATTCATGGTCGATGCGCTTATACAATATCAACACAATTGAGTTTTGCTGATTTCATAAACTGGTGTTAAAGAGGCAGTTTCTTTTGAATAACCTTTCATACTTAATATAGAACTTTTTTAGAGTGATTTATAAACATTCAAAACAAAGTTGAAAACAAAACAGATCCAGCTATACTATATGAGATATTGGAGAATAATTGTAAAATATATTAAGTCTAGGTCTAACTCAGTCTTTCCACCGGAATAAAACAAAGATCCCACTCACCCGGCCAAAAAAGTCCTGTTTTATCCCCTTCAAGAATATCATAAAAATGTGCATTCTGGTTTATCTTATTCCACAATTTACTAAGATATGATGGTTTTATCCAAAAAGCCAAGAAAATCAGGTGCCAGAGTCAGAAATACTGTTTTATTGCGCACCCTGTTTCAATTCCGTGCATGTAAACTTCTGTTTTTGTGATTTAAGTCCCCATTCCCCTTTTTCATACGCGGGGGTTAATGATTTTTCAAACCATAATACAGTCCTCAGGAAGTCTCACCTGACATCAGCATCTTTGGATGACTTTGAATGAACTAAGCAATTATTTCTGATCGTGGAACATGTCCAATAATCATCGCCACGTAGTATTTTAATTGTGTTCGTTTTGATGAACTGTTTTCAAATATGAAATATTTTTTATTTGGAATTTAATGACACTGGTTGAATAATTGTTCCTGATTTTGAAAATTCATGGTCCGTTGGAGAAATCCATGCATAATCCATGCCTTTTTTCATGGTCACAAGAATTCATGTATAATTCAAGCTTTTCAAGGTTTTCATGGCTGGTGGCAACCCTGATTATATATCAAACAACATAGCCTACTCGAGGCAGTTTGCGTTTTTGTCTTGACTTTGACGTTCCATCAAGTTGAATACTTAAGATATTTTGCTTCTATATTTCATGTAAACTTAGTTATCAAAATATATTGCATCATCCATATAAAAGTTATGTATATTTTGAATTTCAAGTTTTACATAGTGAACTTACTTTCATTGTGTAGTACTTTTAGTATAGTAAAAACTCTATCGTTTTGTCAATTATCTTTCTTGAGACATGAATATAAGTTCCTTTCCCTCTTCAAATCGACTGCCTATTCTGAAAAATACCATTTTCATTAAATATATACATAGATTGTAATCATTTAAGTAGGCTATTTTTTTATTTAATTTAAAAATGATTTTTTAAAGTAATTTTGAAGTTTATTGCACAGCTCTCTAGATATGTGCTAACTTCTGTTTGTAGCACTGTCTGGCCCCAGTCAATAGGGCCAGGCAGTGCAACAAACAATCCAACCATCCCAACAGTGACGCCGTCCTGTAATCCAGCTACTACTTTACTAGGTCAAGAGTTGTGTATATTTATTGGCATGCAATGTGGATGCAATGCTCCCTGGTGTGGATAACGTCCGCACAGGTGAGTACTATGACTATCCGCAGTACTATCCTGATAATTAGACCAATTCGTAATTACCAATGTGGTTTGGATTCCACAATAAACTGTAGGTCCCATAGTTGCAATTAGCTGTATGGGCTATTTATTAACAGCTGTGTCTAAGGAATGTCGGCCTTAGTCAATAACAAGACTACAAGATCGTGCCACTCATCCTACACTTTGTATGGTCACCATTTCATAGAACAGTATTACAGTATTAACAGTACTTCCTTCACCACTTTCTATATTGTAGACCTGTTTCAGTTTGCCATTTATGAGATTGATCCATGAATGTGATTCACCGATGGATAATCACATATGAGACCGAAATGGATTCACTTATGAGGTCGCTCTCCAGTGTGAACCAATGTATGAATCTTCATGTGGCTGCTGGTTGTGAAGGATTTTCCACATGTATGCACTAATGAGGTCGCTCTCCCGTATGAACCTTTGTATGAATCTTCATGTGGCTGCTGGTTTTGAAGGATTTTCCACATGTAATGCACTTATGAGGTCGCTCTCCCGTATGAACCTTTGTATGAATCTTCATGTGGCTGCTGGTTTTGAAGGATTTTCCACATGTAATGCACTTATGAGGTCGCTCTCCCGTGTGATCCAATGTATGAATCTTTAAACGGCTGCTGGTTTGGAAAGATTTTCCACATATATTACATTTATAAGGTCGCTCTCCCGTATGAACCTTTGTATGAATCTTCATGTAGCTGCTGATTTGGAAGGATTTTCCACATATAATGCACTTATGAGGACGCTCTCCCGTGTGAACTAAAGTATGTTTCTTCATACAGCTGCTGGTTTGGAAGGATTTTCCACATATTGTGCACTTATGAGGACGCTCTCCCGTGTGAACTAATGTATGATTCCTCATGTGGCTGCTGGTTTGGAAGGATTTTCCACATGTACTGCACTGATAAGGTCGCTGTCCAGTGTGAACTAATGTATGTTTCTTCATACAGCTGATGGTTTTGAAGGATTTTCCACATGTAATGCACATATAAGGTCGCTCTCCCGTGTGATCCAATGTATGAATCTTCAAACGGCTGCTGGTTTGGAAGGATTTTCCACATGTACTGCACTTATAAGGTCGCTCTCCCGTGTGAACCAATGTATGAACCTTCATTTCATTCTTGGTTTTGAAGGATTTTCCACATATAGTGCACTTATAAGGTCGCTCTCCTGTGTGAACTAATGTATGTTTCTTCATACAGCTGCTGGTTTTGAAGGATTTTCCACATGTAATGCACCTATGAGGTCGCTCTCCCGTGTGATCCAATGTATGAATCTTCAAACGGCTGCTGGTTTGGAAGTATTTTCCACATGTACTGCACTTATGAGGACGCTCTCCCGTGTGAACTAATGTATGATTCTTCATGTGGCTGCTAGTTTTGAAGGATTTTCCACATGTAATGCACTTATAACGTCGCTCTCGTGTGTGAACCAATGAATGAATCTTCAAACAGCTGCTGGTTTGGAAGTATTTTCCACATGTACTGCACTTATGAGGACGCTCTCCTGTGTGAACCAATGTATGATTCTTTACACAGCTGCTGGTTAGGAAGGATTTTCCACATATATTGCACTTATGAGGACGCTCTATCGTGTGAACCAATGAATGATTCTTCATAGTGGCATTGGTTTTGAAGGATTTTCCACATGTAATACACTTATAAGGTCGCTCTCCTGTGTGAACCAATGTATGATTCTTCATAGTGGCATTGGTTTTGAAGGATTTTCCACATGTAGTGCACTTATAAGGACACTTCCCAGAATGTGTCAACAAATGACACTTCACTTTACATAGCTCATTAAATGTTTTATCACAAGTCAAACATCTAAAGCGACGCTCGCCCGTGTGTAAGTACATATGACACTTCATTGTTGATATAGTTGAAAACATTTTTCTACATATTGGACACTTAATAAGAGGCTTTTTAGTGATATTAAACATTTTTTTTTCTTATTTCTGATTTCTAACAGACGAGCCCATAACTAATTGGAATTAGTCGGTTTTCTTTGCACTTCTATTTAAATATTTGTTGTTTTTTTTTGTAGAATTTGTTAAATGTCGAACAGTTATTATAGGCCTATATATGTAACAATAAAATTGTATCAACTCTTGCTCAAATTATTATGTGCATTATATATCAAACAACATAGTCTACTCGAGGCAATTTGCGTTTTTTTCTTGACTTTGATGTTCCATCAAGTTAAATTAGCCTACTTAAGAAACTTTGCTTCTATATTTCATGTAGTTATCAAAATATATTGCATCATCCATATAAAAGTGATGTATAATTTGAATTTCATGTTTTACATAGTGAACTTACTTTCATTGTGTAGTAGGTACTTTTAGTATAGTAAAAACTCTATCGTTTTAGCTGCCGTTTAATGTATTTAAATAGCAGATTATGTCAATTATCTTTCTTGAGACATGAATATAAGTTCCTTTTCCTCTTCAAATCGACTGCCTCTTCTGAAAAATACCATTTTTATTAAATATATACATATTGTAATCTTTTAAGTAGGCTATTTTTTTATTTAATTTCAAAATGATTTTTTAAAGTAATTTTGAAGTTTGTTGCATAGCTCTCTAGATATATGCTAACTTCCGTTTGTAACACTCTCTGGCCCTATTTGTTGTATTGACCCCAGTCAATACAATAAATTGGGCCAGGCAGCGCTACAAACAATCCAACCATCCCAACGGTGGGGTCGTTCTGTAATCCAGCTACTACTAGGTCAAGAGTTGTGTATATTTATAGGCATGCAATGTGGATGCAATGCTCCCTGGTGTGGATTAACGTCCACACGGGTGAGTACTATGACTATCCGCAGTACATTCCTGATAATTAGTCCAATTTGTTAATTACAAGGCAGAAATTTGGTTCGGATTCCATTGGCTTTATGGGCTTTAAATTAACAGCTTTGTCTAAGGAATATGTCGGCATTAGTCACTAACAAGACTACAAGATGTGTTACTCATCCTACACTCATCTTCATTCATACTACTTGGCTTAAATAATTACTGTAGCCTACCGTACCTAAATATGTATGGTCGCCATTTCAAATTTAAGTAGCCTATTAAAGGTATCGAGAGTACCACACAATTGAGTAGCAAGGGACAGTGTGATAAAATATAAACGTGATTTTCTTGCTCCAAACATAAGGAGACGTCCATATTTAAATAGACTCTTGGGTCATAATTATTCCCAAATTTTGGGTGGACTTTCAATAGTATTTTGATTTTTGTCAAGACGGATGTCTCGTTCTAATTTTGGGATCACAAAAATGTTTCTTGTTTCGACAAATCATAAGAATGCAACGTGGGGATGATCATGATGTCCATATGATTAAAAGATATGGTCATTGTGTTACCGCGCACTCGGGTTATGATCACGATGTCACATTGTTGGACATGGTTACCTTAGTGCTGTGATAACAAATAAATATAGAAATAGGCCTATGGGTGGAAAAAGTGGACAGCTCACAACATCTAATTGAGATCAAGTCTCTTGTTTATAAATAAATTGATTGCATTTATAGTGAAAGCCACTTGAGCGGAGCGATCACGTTTCATGGTTTTTAATAAAGCAATAAATAAACAAAATGCTTATAGATATCAAACAAAAAACCACTATTTCATCAATTAATTTAACTTATCAGTTTCGCTTAGAATTATCAACATCTATAACAAGTTTCATTAGTATATATGTGGAAATTACATACATATCCTTTTTATCAGTATTTTTCTGTGTTTGCTTGCTATAAATGTCATCTCGTGAACCCACAGTTCTGGTCGAACCTGACATTGAACCTAAACCAATAGACATTTTCTCAATCTTGCCCAGATTGTGTAGTTATCAGGCATCCTGCATGGATCCATACAATTAGCCGGTGTAACTTTTTGAAGACTTGCCTGCTTTGCGATGATTGCACAAACATTGGTCACTATACCTTATGAGGTTTGTTTTCTTAAATTTTGTACATTTAACATAATTATGAAAAGCATTGTTTTCAACCAAGTGTTATAAAAATAATTATCTCAAAACATTGCCAGAGAAGTAGTTGTTTGTGCATTTCGGGTGTTTATTGCTCGTCTTCATTTTCTACAAATATCAGGCATTTTTGAGAGTGCATTCTGAAATTTTTCCTTAATATGATACTCTTATGCAAATTAGGTATTTTCTTGTAAAACAAAAACGCAAAAATACTTTATCTTTCTTGGGCAATGATATACCCCAAGTTGTTGGCCAACACAATAACAATCAATACAACAAGTGTACATTAAGTCAATACAATAAGTCCTAACTTCACCTCTTAAATAAAGACATTTGTCATTTTATTTCATTTCAAGTGTGTTGCCAACACGACGATATCACCAAAAATATGTCAAAGTAAATAAAATATCTATGTATATGTTGCTAGCATAATAATAACTGTTTCATAAAAACCAACTATCAATCAATCAAATCATTCTTTATTGAATAAAACACAGAGTACATGTTTTGAATAGAGTCAAGTTAAGATTTAACATTAGAAAATAAACATTTATTTGAGGGCTGACAATAAAAACAATAATGTATTTCTAAGCACCGTGAAGATAAAAAAAGTAAATAAAAAAGTTCCCTTATTTATGTTATGGAATTCAAATTTAATATTATGTGCTAATTTTTGTGCTTAAAAAAGTCTTCTATCAAATAATAAGGAAATTGAATTAAAATATTTTTGAGTGTGCATTTGAATTTATTTATACTAGTGGTCGTCCAGTGGTCGAAAACTCGATCAAAATTATTTTTCACCCCACGCTGTAAATAAAAAACGTGATTGTAATTTCATCAATTTTTGTTGATTTTCTGTTTACATTTTGTTGTTATTTCGTCACTAGCATGGCAACCCATAAATGCTCATGTTAGTTTTTTTTTTTATTTCAAATTCATCTTTTGTGCTTATTTTTTAGCCTATTTTAATTTATAAAGGGATTCTGCACATCTACAGGAAAACCCTTTTTTCTTTTGTACATTTTGTTGTGTAATTTTATATATGTGGTGGAATAAATTCATTCATTCATTCAATATCTTACACAGTATGCGTAGACATTCCCTGCGGTGCACAGGAGCTGAGAAAAAAGGTTTTAAAGAAACATGCTTCCCTATTAATATATAGATCTTCTTTCTTAAAGGAGCACCGGCTCCTTTAGGTGTTGTAAAAATGTTAACCCTGAATAGTAAGTTTTCTTTTTAAATTATTCCATCTTAGGCCGTGGTAAGACAATTTTAAATCTAGTTTAATAGACACCAGTACTGTTTGGAGTGGATGACGATTGGATTTGTTTGTTGTTCAAAGGTGTATTGCGGACATTTTCCATCACGATTGTAAAAAACAATACACAACGTTTCGGGATCTGGAATCTGATCCCGTCTTCAGGTGAAAAAACTTATCTAACACATTACAACTAACAATACACAAAAGCCCAACCTAAGTTGGAATACACTACAGAAGGTAGCAGTCAAAAATATGCCATGAATTTGTTTGCCATAGACAGATGTTTCACAAATATACAGATTATATACTGTTAAGATTTGTAATTCTGTAAAATATCTCTTAGTTGAATCTCTTTTTCACAGTTTCATCATCACACGAATATCCTTCTTTTGTTTAATTAGAATGGATCTAAATTGCTCTTTTTTGTTGCTCCATAAATAGATATTTAATAAGATATGTGATGATGCACTATGCAGTAATAAAAAATATATTATTCTCAGAGTATCTATGCTGCAGATCTGAGACATCTGCCTCAAAGTCATATATACCAGAAGTAAATTTTTAACAACATGTTTAACATCACTATTCCAAGTAAGGTTTTCATCAATTATTAATCCAAGAAATTTAGTTTTTTTCTACTTGCTCTATTTTGTCTTTTTTTATAAAAATGTCTGCTTCAAATTTTGTTCTCAATTGTTTGTGGGAAAACATATAAAGTTTGATTTATTTAATACTAGCAGAGGACCCGGCCTTCGTCTGGGGTTGATGTATGTTTAAATGGTTGGTATTCCTGACAAAGTGATCTGGCCACACATGATCCCTCACATAGCCCATTGCAGAACAAATAAGCATTTTTAGATTTTTTAGATTTAGCATTTTTATCATGTTTTTCATGTTTGTCTGAATTATATTAATTGGTAATGAATTAGGATTTTTTTCTCTTGGTGCAACTTTTGATGTCACTTTGTTAATGTGACATCAAGAGTATATATTTGTAGTATATTTTTATCAACTATAATACGTAAATCATACAAGAATGTAAAATTTTTGAATTGATAAGTTTAAACTATCGGATATAATGTAGGTTTCTTTGGACTTGTAAAAAACGTGATTGCATATTGAATTCCTAATTGCAGTACCTATTCAAAGTCTGCATTATTGATTGGTACGTCTATGGAAAGTACGTATATGTTGGTACTTGCAGTATCCAAACTCAATCGTAGGCCTATATTTGGTTCACAAAAATGGAATGGCTATTTGGCCATTATTATATATAGCCATTATTTGGATTATTTAAAGTAAAAAAAATTCAAAATGGTGCATCAGCCTTATTCCGGCGACCATAATTATTGCTTATTCATTTTGTAGTAAATTATGCTCAATGATATCAATCAGATTGTTCTTCCATTTTTCCCCGTACTGTTGTAATGTGCTATTTATTTAGATAATTTGTTGACTAACCTAACATATGTTGCGACTCTTGTTTACCTTTTTATTGTTATCTCGCAAATAATGTCATGGCAACCAATTACCCCATAAGGCTAATGTTAAATTTCCAAAAGTTTAAATTCACGTAGGGAAAAGTCCTCTGGTCTAATTTGTACCATTTCAGGTTCATACCGTACCTTCCCATGGTTGGTTACTATGGTTGTGCTAAATTTTGGCAGATCGCTTCAGCCGTTCAGGAGGAGTATTTGTAAAACAAAAGCAGGAGTGTAGTACAGGGTGGGGCAATGAAAGCACCCCAATTCATAAGCTGTACAAACTCAATAATATTCACCCTATAGATGTAAATAGCACATCAAAACACAGCATATCTTTTGCCATTTTAACTTAACAAAGTCATTTTTCCATTTCTTGATAACAAAATCCTGCAAGTGACGTCCTTGACCTACTTGACATTCCTTTTAAGGCACTTGAAAACTCTATCAAATACTCCTCCAGCATTTTTTCAGGTTCACGGTTCACTTTAGTTTTTGGACGATTCTTAGCTTCAGTTCAAGCAAATCTGTGGGGTGACTTTGAAAAACCTCGAACTTCAAATAGCTTATTAGAACAATCCCCTCCCCCCTCCCAAAAAAGGGGCCAGCGTGAAGCTTTCAACAACAAAAGCTTCCTGGCAAATCCCTTTGGACTTTGAGTTACTGCGACTCGCACTCTTTCAACATTTGCTGGTGTACAAAGAGTTTTGCGGCACCCACCGATTATTTT